CCCGCCCTCTAAAATGACGTCACACCTCAGCTTACAACCCCCCCCCCCCCCCCCCCCCCCCCAATAAAATAACTGCAGTCGCATTTTTCTTAAAATACGATATTTATTAAAATACGATATTTTTCCAAAATCTTGTCTGACCTCTGTTAACTTAGAGTATTTTAATCAATTCCAATTACACTTTATTGAAACAATATTCTAAAACGCGAAATAACGGCTAAAATTCGTTTTCTAACATAGCTTTTGGATAATGCAAAAGTGTGATGTCACACTATCTGACCCACCCCCATCCCCTCATCACACACCGTCACACGCTTATAGATCCCCCCTCCCCCTACGAGTGTGACGTCATTTATGGACGACCCCAATGTCCCCACCTATAATATACATGAAGACGTGAAGAAATACCGTGGAAGTTTTAAGTTAGTTCATATCACGGAATAACAGAAGTAAGTTAATTTTAAAAATAATTTTAGAAGTAACTACGCTAGTAATACTCGTATCAGAGATGTAGCCGCCCGACCAAGTGAAAAGCGGATTTTTTTACAAGCGGTTGGGAGGGGGCAGTGATAGCGGCTATTTTCTCAGACACGGTACTTCAAGGTTTTTTAAACATTTCAATGACGTTTTACCAAAGTAAAAAAAAAACAAACAATTAGATGTAGACCCTGCTAGATCGTGTAACTAAATTGTAGCAGGCCTACACATGTTGTTTAATGATATAAAACGATGCAGTTCTATTTTTTTCTCTTGAATCTAGAAGTAGGCCCTTATTAAAAATAACCACGTTAAAATTAAACAGCGCTTGTACTTGTAGAACTGCCTTGACCGAGAGACACGACTCAGACTGTGTTTGCGTGGTCTCGTGACGTAGGTCTTACGGCCAGCGCGACCTTGAAGAAGCGGGTAAGAGGGGGTAAAAAGTGACGGTAAAGTTGAGTGAAAACAGCACAGTACTGTTTCATACATAAAATAGTCCTTCAAATAGTTTTTTTCTTTTCTTTTGGTAAAACCAAATACAAATATTTTTTTTAGATCGGAGCAAAATCTTTGGTTTTTCTATATTTTTTTTAAAGACGATCGGCGCTGCTAGTGAGCTAGATCTAGTAATGGTAGGACTTAGTTGTTTTATTACACAGCCTAGCGGTATCCCATTGATGACTTCACGTAAATAATGCGAATTTTACCCCCAACCCATATCGTCATAAATAGCCAGACAGCCACACCACGAATGACATCAAAAAGTTCCGAGTGCAGCCTCACCCATCTGATACAGCCGATTAGTATTGGTCCATGGTGCTCGGGTGAGATTGTTGGTGACGTCATTTACTATTCGTTTTTTTCGGAAAGGGCCATTAGCGGTAGTGTTGACGATAAAAACGATTTTTACAATGTCAAAATTTTCAAGCTTAAAACGATCTTAATTTTTTTTTAAAACTGCAAACCCGGAAATTTTCAAACTCAAATCTTGCGAATCCGGAAAGGGAAAAAAATATGATTCTCGAATCCGGAAATCCGGAAAAGTGGCACCCCTGGGTGAACAGCTGATTGTGTTTACGTCTGGTGTACACCACTGTGGCGGCGGACGCAGGTATCACGTGATTTAGGTCACGTGTTTGCAAGGACTCTATAGCCGTCACTAAACCCGGCTCTACGATTGTAAACATTTAGCATGAACCACAGCTCACCAGACCATGTAGGGGTGGGGGTGGTAGCGAGCGCGCTTACAGCTTGGTGTTTTCTAACGTCTCCAAGGAGAGAATTATATAAATAGGTTATTTTTAGCAGATTTCTTTTGACTGAATATACTCGAGGATTAATGTTTTATGCTGCTGAAATTTTCTTGTTTTATTTAATGTTATATATTTGTTTAGATGTCTTCCCTTTTGATGTGAATATTTACTATCAATCCATCTTAATTTGTCAACTGTTTTTATTGGCTTTAGCATTTCATTGTGCACATTTTTGGCACGTTTGGCCTTGTTTTTACTATCTGCAAATATTTCTGTGTGCCACAAAAACAGAGCATTTTCCGCTCAAATGTATCTGCCTTTTGATGTGACCAATAAGCATTCTTGTAATTTTCAATGTATTTTTTTCTTTTACTAACCCTAATCTTTTGGTCTTCTACGCCCTCATAACCTTGACTTCTAACCAATACCCTCTAACCCTAACCCAGTCCTAAATCTAACCAAAATTTAACTATAAAATAATTTTAACACCTTTTCATATAGAAAATTGCTTTAATAATATTATTCATTTTTTTTTTACCATGTAAGTAATTTATGAAATATAAAGATGATGTACTAACCATGGGCTGTGGCATACAATATTATATACATATGCGTGCTTTTACTCAAACAATATTATGAGCAACAGGCAAGCAGCATCCTGCTTTAATAAAGTATATATTTACTACTTGCTAGATAAACAAGTTCAGCCATTTCATATACACAAAAAACATTTAACAAACTCAAGTGAATCACAAAAAAAAAAGGAAAGAAAAATCATCCAACTGGAATACAAAACTAGTCTAGATTTCCATTTGACATAAAAATGTAATGGCTAGCAACTTGACTCAAATATTTATAGTTAGCACTATAACAATTAAATACTGACATAAAAATCCTTACCCTAAATTAGATTAGTTTGTTACAGACTGCATAGGTAATATATGGAAGGCAGGAGAGAAAACAGCACCTTGTACTCTACCTATACCATCTATTCCTTTATAAATTCCTGATACTGGGAAATTTTTTTTTCTCTTTATCAAAGTGAACATTCATGATTTTATTTGTGAAATATTTTCATTGTTCATAAATTTAACGATTAATTGACTTGTTATTCTATAATTAAACATTTTTTTTTCTCTTATAATTAGCACAAGCCTTCAACATATTTTTAAAAGTTATATTTCTGATGTTATAACTGGCTGTATAACAGAAATAGATGTATACCAAATTTTAAAAATGTAACTAACACTTAGAGGCGCTGCTAAAATCTCGCTTGCTCACAGAGATTTCATGTCGACTCCACCTGGATCAACTACACAATTATGAAAAAACATTCTTTTTCATGTCAAGACAATTTGAAACTGTTCACCTGTCTTAGGAGACTGAATAAACTTGCCTTTTGTGTGATAATTCAAGGTCTTCACAAAATCTTTTAATAACAATGACATTTAAAAATATATTTCCATCTTACATTTCAACTACAAAATAATATTATTGACTCATATTTCAACACAATTTTAAGAAATATTTCCTACTAAGGAATCTATATTTGAACAACCTATCAAAAGATTTCCTTTTTATATTTGAAAAACATTGTATGAAAGATTTTCTTCTTATATTTGAAGAACATGTATGAAAGATTTTCTTCTTATATTTGAACAACATGTATGAAAGATTTCCTTCTTATATTTGAACATGTATGAAAGATTTCCTTCTTATAAGTGAACAACATGTATGAAAGATTTCCTACTTCTACTTGAACTACTTATTAAAAGAAGTCAAGAGTGAGAAGCTTGAAGCATTATATCTGCTGTTTTAGTACTATCCATGATGTATATACTTTCCTAATGTATCTCAGTAAAAGTACTTGAATTACCTAACTGTAACAGCTATAGAATGAAATCACATTACATACATATAAAAACATATTCAGCTGTGTATACAGACACCTGACTACTGCATATAAAAACATGAATTATTTTCCTAATATAAAATATAAGTAGCTTGCCAGCTTGATAGCATTGAGTAACATCTCAAAATGAATCCTCAAAATTAAAATCAAGAATTTAGTTGAACCCCTTTCTGACCGTCATCAGCAGTTACTAGAACTAAAATGGATCCTCAGTCAACAGCTGCAATCTTACATTTATACCAACTACAACCAATTCATTTTAACCAAAAGTAAACTGGTAACCTATGGGCACACATTGTTGATCAAATATTAATAGCTAAACAAGTAATTATTGTTTAGCCAGAGCTCTTCACAAATGCAGACATCAGAAGAACTTTTTTACAATATGCTGGAGAATCTAGAGGCAACTCTAACTCATATGGTATATGATTTTCTTTTTCCTTTGAACATTTAAAAACACTCAACACTACAATCATTTCATTAAACATACATTTTGGCAAATTTCATGAGAAATAGCAAGTTTTGATTTTTATAATGATTTAGGAGAAAAAAAAAGAATTTTGACTTACTTCCTAGAGCCAACCAACTGACTACAAAGTAAATATTCATTGCAACAGAGATGTGACTAGACAAGATGGAACTCTAGGACAAGAGTAAGTACACATGGACTTGGGTGTGTAATTAACAAGATAGTCAACTAAAAAGTCAGTGTAGTCATTTTTGCTTTTCTATACTGTATATTGAAGATGTCTACAAATATTCCCCCTGCCATGATATTGTCATCCACTTTAGAACCCTTCATAACAAACTTGAACCTAATTCAACAATTAGAATCAGCCAAAATGTGTTCACTCAAGTCGGCCTAAACCTCAAAGTATAAAGAGACTTAAATGATTAAGCACTTGATTCATCTTCATTAGTTTCCACAAGTATTAAAAATTTGTTTTATATGGAAAGAAAGGTGTTAAAAATATTATTCTCTGTACACATAGAGTGCATTACAATATTGATAAACATAACATTAATAAGTTGCATGCCCAGCACAGGTTGATAACCTCTAATTCTGATAACTTGATCCCTCGCTTACCAATGAGGGAAAATTTGTTTCATAAGTGTGAGACCACAGTGCACAGGTAAAAAAAAAAAGGCTTCTTACATGTTAAGCCGAGGTTTTTTTTCAACTCAAGCACTGCCGTTTTTATTTATACATTTCCTATGAAGGTTTAGAATTTTTGCTCGTTTTAAAATTTATGTACTTTTATGTTAACTTCTTCATGCTGGATGTCTACATTAACTCTATCCCCCCCCCCCCCCCCCCCCCCCACAAAAGTATATTTTTTGGGACACCCCCCCCCCTTTTATGTGTACAACTTATATTGATAACATTGCAATTTTTTTAGCAACCATGTTTCCAACAAGCTGGTGAGTTAGTGTGTATGTGTGTGAGTGTGTGTGTATGTGTGGGTAATGTGAGGGCGCTGAGAAAATGTGGACTTGATGAAATAACATAAACAGTAAAGTTTAAAAATGGAAGCATGAAATAGAGGTCTAGTCAATCAATTCTATCCACAGTAAAAGACCAAGGTTTTCTAGCACATTTTGATACATTTTTTAGACAATCAAACTTGACAAACACCAACAGAAAAAAATTTCAGCTTCAAATTCTGAGAAACACATTAAGAAAACCACTGAATAATGGTCAAGTCACATTTCTGTTGCAAATAAAAAATATCCTAATAAACTTTGCTTAAAGAAAATCAGTCGAATATTATAAAATGAATGGCAGCACACATATCACAATATAAAAGTTAGTTTGCACCACCATTTTCCCATCCAATGCTTCTAGCCAAAATCAAGTATAAATTTGATATTCCAGGTCTCTAATGAGTCAACTTAGTAATGAAAGCCATGAGATGAACTGCTCTGATGAGGATGATACAACATTGGCTGGTCCTACATCCCGGCTGCCCCACCTGGCAACTGTTTCATCCTTTTCTTTAGCAATGGGTTATTAGACTGGGTCAAGTTCTTGATGTTAATAACTCTATCATAGTCTACCCTCATAGTGGCTAAGGCATTTGTCATTTCTTCCTGCACAACAAAAACAACAAAAAAATAAAACTTTACATCAATTTCAAACTAGAATCAACTCAGGTTTTCTAAAATTGAATCTCATGTCTAAAACTTAAATACAAAAGTTCTTGTATTGTCACAAATAACCAATGGTTAATCTTAAACACACCAAGGTGAATGGCTAAAATTAACAACAAATTTAACTCAATGGCTAATCCTAAAACCACCATACTGAAAGGCTAATCCTAAAACCATCACACTGAAAGGCTAATCCTAAAACCACCACACTGAATGGCTAATCCTAAAACCACCACACTGAATGGCTAATCCTAAAACCATCACACTGAAAGGCTAATCCTAAAACCACCACACTGAATGGCTAATCCTAAAACCATCACACTGAAAGGCTAATCCTAAAACCACCACACTGAATGGCTAATCCTAAAACCATCACACTGAAAGGCTAATCCTAAAACCACCACACTGAATGGCTAATCCTAAAACCATCACACTGAAAGGCTAATCCTAAAACCACCACACTGAATGGCTAATCCTAAAACCATCACACTGAAAGGCTAATCCTAAAACCACCACACTGAATGGCTAATCCTAAAACCATCACACTGAATGGCTAATCCTAAGACTCTAATATTGTTTCAAGCACACATCTGGCCACTATTTGAAATGTCCAAAGAGAACCTACCTGTACATCCATCCAGGATTCAACATCTTCTCTCAACACCTGGGCTGACATGAGAGGTGTTGGTGGTACTTGAGTGTTGTCCTGAGGAGAAAAATTGCTCCATTAGAATTGCCTGTTGCATTGATCTTAACAGTAATACCTCAGGGAGTGGGGAGGGGGGGGGGGGGGAGGGGGGAGAGGAGGAGAAGAAAGGAGACAGCAACCCATCTAGGGGAGACTATGTTAGCTAGGTACCACAATCCATCTGGGAAAGAAAACGAATACATATATGTGAAATTTTGTTCACCTAACTGATACAGTACTCAGGTTATCAGTGTTTAAGACTCCAAAAGTAGAAAAGGTATTACTAACAGTAAACACAAAATTGTTTAAACCTTATTAGAAATCTGCATATTGGATATAATACTTATATATGCAATTTTCTCAACCTTACTTAAAAGCAGACATGCATAGCCTTGGCTGCCAAAAGTAGAAACAACCATACATAAAAAGAGGAATTAGATCACAGTTTCTGTACAGCCAATCAAGGCTAGTCTTGAAAGTGAAACTTCAGGTTATAATAATAGAAATCTAGCTTTAAAAAAATAATAATTTCAAGTTATCTACATTTGCAACTGTTATATCATTAATTTTTAAGACAGAGAGAAAGGGCAAGAGAAGATTGCAAAACAATGTTTTTTCTACTTAGGAAGATGTAAAACTCAAGATTTGTTAAAATCTAAATTTAGGATTTTTGCAAAGAGAAATAAAACATGTCAAACACTTACAGATATCCATTTATTTTGCATAACTTGTAAAATGTTTAATCTTTTATCAGGATCTGTTCTCAGTAATCCTTTAATGAGGTCTTTTGCTACAAAAATCAAATATTTATTTTAAAAAAAGATTATAGAGCACTAAAATTATAAATAGCAAGCTCATAAAGGGGATATGCACATATAAAAATCACCAAAATCCAGATTTTTCATCATAATGGGTTTCTTGCACATAAGGATAAATTGTCCAATTTTGTATTGAGAAAATAGCTTCAGTGAGAAATTTTTTTAATGTGTTTAAAATTCAGTTTTTTAATGACCCCATTAATTAATAAAACAAATATAAAAAAAAACCTTTATAGCAAGAAGCTTTTAAATGCACTGAAATTAAGAAAATAAAAGTAATTTACTTTCTTAAAACATAAAAGCTTTGGTTGCTAATGAGATATTTTTACATATTTTAGCGACGAAAGCTTTTATTAAAGTAAATAAATTTATTATATTTTTTCAGTACATTTAAAAGCTGGGTTCCATAAAGGATTTATTTTCTACATTTTACTGATTCCTAATTTATGAAGTTGACGCGACTATAAATATTTGCTTTAAAACATCATCAGTAGTTCGCTATATCTAAAAGAAGATTATCTGCTGCTTGAAAAGTAGCCGTTGTGACCATATTACCTCCCTTTACTATCAAATCATTTTAAAACTTAATTATCTGCCCCTTCACTAGATCGATCAGCTATGTAAACAATCTCGTGAACCACAGCTCACCAGATGGTTAGGGTGATCGAGTCTAGCTAGTAATTTCTCCTTATGTTATTGAATATAGTAATCTATTAAGTGATTTAATTTTGTTATCTCCCCTTAGTGTTAAATCGTTTAATTAATTTTAATAACTTATTAAACATCTAATTATATTAAAAAATAGATAGACTTGTATTGTCATCAAAATGGAATGTATCTGGAAAGTTTGAATGAAATCGCTGCATTAGAAGTGAGTCAAAATTGAGTTATAAGATTTGCCATAAACAAACTAGCGGACGTTGCACACTAAATAAAAGCTTGTAAAAATAATTTGTTGTTCCCATTCTTACTTGCTCTCTACAAAAAGTTAAATATCTGTCATCAAACTGTATTTGGCATCAATGGAAAACAGGATTTCTGATGTATTTGATAATCGTATTTTCTGTCATCTCAAAAACACATAATCCTAACAATTGGCTTTACAACTAACACAGAAATGGTAGTTTTGTGACCAACTTTTCATTACTTTTTCTATTTTTCTCACATTGCTGTGTTTTAGCACTAAAAAGTCTACTACTTTTGTTTATTAATAATACAATACCCACCATATTTTCAGTATTTGTTGTTCATGTAAAAATAAAACATGTCACAGGGGTATTGTGATGGCTTTCATAGAAAAAACTTAATTGTAAATAATGACATTTTTTAAAACTTCTTCATACTTAAGAGAGTGTCTTCTTCTTCTTCTTCGTTCTAAATATTTAGTGTTGGAAGGGATCTAGCCTTATCTGCCAGAAGTTTCAAACTGGAGACTTTTTTCCAATTTAACAACCATTTGCTTTTGCCGACTCAACCACGCCTCCAACACAATTAAGTATACGTGTCAACTGGTTATGCGCCATTGAGGCCATTGACTCCGATTTCAGCCTGCTTTACTTTTTGGATTAGCTTCCATAGCTTTTGTCCAGCCAAGAACAAACTAAAAGGCAGCAGTTGTTTGATTTTGGAGTTGTCTCTCCTAGGGTTAGCTGTCTCTCCTAGAGTGGCTGTCCCCAGCTAACGAGCCTCATCTGCCAGAGAGTTCGAACTCTAGACTTTTAGGTTTAGCAACCATGAGCTTTGCTGTCTCGACCATGCTGAGAGTGTAATTTTTCCGAACTTGTAGAATTCTAACCAGTAGCTCTATCAAAAAGTTGTCGTGACTGAAGTTTTAATATACAATGTTAATTTGATTGCTATAAGTGCATAAAATAAAACGCCATAGCGTTTTTGAAAGTACCAAAAAAGTCAAATAGTTGAGGTTTTTTGTCAACTGAAATTGTTTTCAGACCCATTTTTGCTATTAATACTTATTTTCATGTGCAGAACATGGTAAAAGTATTCAAAAGGCTTTAGATCCTAAACTGTAAAAAATAGAAAAAATTTGAGCATATCCCCTTAAACTAACTAAACACTAACCATTAACCTAAGACAAACTTAACTACACTAGACAAACTAGCGAGCATTACTAACCTTCAGGACTAACTCGACTCCACTCAGGGTCAGGAAATTCATACTGACCGTTTCGTATTCTCTTTTTCATGCCTGGTGAAATGGCAGCACCATGATTGCTATAAAAAGGCGGGTAACCACAAAGCCTAAGAAACAAAACAAAGTAGTTGGTTGCTATAACCTAGTTCAATTCAGTGTATGGACCTATCAAGTTCACCTTACCATAAGATTTAAATATTTTAAAAATTATGTAAACTTTTGCAACAATTTTTAATCATCCTGATGTTAAGGTATCCATTTTCCTGCTTTGATGTGTTATATGGGGTAAATCATATCTATTTTTGTTATAGAAACATATACTTGATCCACATTAGTACTTACAAAATATACATGATGACACCCAATGACCACATATCACAGGATTTATCATACTTTTCAGGTCCTAAAACTTCAGGGGCTGAAAAGACAAAAAGGAAAATGTGTTTGTACATGTATGTATATGTGCGTGTTTGTTACATGTGTGTGTGTGTGTTTGTTGCGTGTGTGTTTGTTGCGTGTGTGTTGTGTGTGTGTTTGTTGTGTGTGTGTGTAATTGTAATTGTGTATTTATATATGTATACATGTAAAAAAGATACTCTACAAATAAAATTTTTAAAACTTCCCAGTTATAAAAGTTGCAGCTGGTAACTCTTATTTAGAAGTTACAATAGTTTTTAAGCCTCTTTTTATTTTTAGCCTTTAGATTATACTAAATATTGGTGAATTAGGTCATTAATTAAAAAACATTTTAAAAAATACTAGCAACACTTCTTCAAGCAAAATAATCATACAGAAATGTCCAGAAAAATAATGTTGAAAAATTTAAATTTCTGATTGAAGTATTTTTGGGGGTTTAACCTGACCTAATCATTTGTTGATTCAAAATTTGCATAACTTTGTTATGTTGATTAACAAAATTACTTTTGATACATTTTTAAAATTCTGTTGTTAATAAAACTTCTATAAATTTTGACAAGTCAGTGTATTTCTTGTCATTTTTCTACATCATCTTTGTTAACAGTAAAACACACAATTTAATACTCTAATGGGGAGCTTTAACTATTCAAAGCTTTGACATTTATATTGCTATGTGAGAGATGACTTCCTATTATATTGGTTACAGTGAACTATACCAGGGAAATTAAAGGTCTGTGTGCTAAGAATTAAATCCTTCGCATACTATACTCAGTATATTGTTATTCTCACATGAGTTGTCAGGTCTCCACGAAATACTTACACTTACATATTTTAAAATAATCCTTTCAGCTTAACATTTCCTCACTGTATTATTGTTTAACTAGTAGTTACACTTACTGGTCCTGAATGCTCATTATTAATGCTGTGTCAAAGAGCGCAAGTAAAGGGATGAAAAACACAATAAATTTAAAACACAGGATAAGTTGTAAATTAGGGGCGCGTGTTGGTGTAGTGTATTTCATTGGGGAGGGGTTGTCTGGCTTTATGTGACAATGTGTGACGATGGAAGGAGGGGGTAAAAAATTGGCAAAAACAAGCGTGACATAATTTATGGAAACCTTAACCTGGCAGTTTTCTCTATTTCTCTAGGGGCAATATAACTTGATCTCTAGGAGCAATATAACTTGATCTCTAGGAGCAATATAACTTGATCTCTAGGAGCAATATAACTTGATCTCTAGGAGCAATATAACTTGATCTCTAGGAGCAATATAACTTGATCTCTAGGAGCAATATAACTTGATCTCTAGGAGCAATATAACTTGATCTCTAGGAGCAATATAACTTGATCTCTAGGAGCAATATAACTTGATCTCTAGGAGCAATATAACTTGATCTCTAGGAGCAATATAACTTGATCTCTAGGGGCAATATAACTTGATCTCTAGGGGCAATATAACTTGATCTCTAGGAGCAATATAACTTGAGTACTGTTTCTGGTTTCAGTTAAGTAGATGATAATTCATATAAAAGTATAAGATTTTATACTTGGATTGTTCTTCAATTGTGAAGTGATCCCCGGTGTCCAGAAAAGGTACTTAACTCTATTTCCAATTGCTATAATACTGATAACATTCGTACTGTTTCAGTTAGATTTGAGTTATTTCTGTTGACCAAGAGTTCATTACAGTATTACCATTATCTTAAAAAATATTACTTCTACCGGACCGATTTGTCTCAAACTTTTCATGTAAGTTAAGACTCAATGACAATGCACAGCGACATGAAGTATGACTTCATTAGATGTTTAATTTTTTAAAGATTAACCAGCTTCCTTTATAAAGTACTAGCCACTCATTATTGCACACATTGTTTATGTTCATATGGTGTGTGATTTTTTTCCTACTCGATTCTATGCTTTTTAAAGTGCCTTCCCTCTAGCTAGTATACAAGAATATACAATAAAGTTTAGGGGGGATCACTCTTGCTTTTTACAATTGATTTCTTTAATGTGGGGATATTTAAAAATAATTTTAAAATGAAAAAAATTGTTGCTTGGTTACACAGTAAATAAATTTGTTTTCAATGCCCAGAAAGTAAAGAATTAACTTAAAATTGAGATGACTGATATGCAAAAAAGTTACATCATTCACAAACATTTTTTACTTTCTCGTATATACGAAGTATAGAGAAAGTCTTGTAATCGTGCGGAAAAACATAATTTTGCAATCTTGTCCGTATGTCTGTGTGTCTGTCTGTCCGTGTGTAAACACGATAACTTGAGTACTGTTACAGCTAGGTTGATGAAATTTCATATATAAGTCTTTTATCAAAATCGTAGATCCGTATCAACTTTTGAGCGATTTCCGATAACCGGAAGTGGTACTTTTCCTACTTTGAATTTTTCAAAAGCCTATAACTTGAGTACTATTTCAGATAGATAAATGAAATTTCACATGTAAGTAAAAGATCTAATTCTCTACCTTCTGTTAAATTTTGAGTAATTTCCGTTGACTGGAAGTAGTAATTTACGCTACTTCCGATTTCTCAAAAAACTAATGTAAATTTTAAAAGTACTAATAATATTGCGCACTATTATGCGCTTTTTTATTTGGCGTTCACTTGGTGTGCAATTAATTTGTCTACGAGATTTTATTCTATTTTAAAACTTTAAGTATTTAAAATGGATTAAAAATCATGTATATAGCCCGAGTTCCCATCCCCTGTTATTTTATATAAGAATATTCGAGAAAGTTTAGGGGAGATCACTCCCGGTTTATTATTTTAATGCAGGAGCAAAATGTCTTTTCTATGAGCTACATTGCAAAATGAATGGAAGATGACATACCAACATAGTAGGGTGTATAGCATGGGGTCTGTAAAGATTTGAGCTGTCCACTTTCCTTGGCAAAGCCAAAATCTGTTAATTTCAGAACTCCATTCTCAGATTTATCAGAATACAGCAAATTTTCTGGCTGATGAGCAGGCAAAAATTATAAAGATATAGTACATTTGTTGGCAGTGAAGTTGTTGCTGTGTTGTTACATTGTAAAATATAGTAAATTTTTTTGGCAGTGAAGTTGTTGCTGTGTTGTTACATTGTAAAATACAGTACACGAGCCGGCCCGCGGTGTATGATACGCAGCTATTTAGTTGTTTTATTTTCTACTTTTCAGTAATTCATAATTTGTGAATTCGACAGTAACAATGCTGCCACTGAAAATATTTGCGAGAAAACACTAACCCCCCCTTTCCCCCAACCCCTACCCTACACCCCCCCCCCCCGTGAAAGCAGCCTCCTCTTAGTTACCTCCTGTAAGTTTAAAATCGTTTCAAACTAAATTATCTGCCCCTAATAGCAGTCACTAAACCCGGCTCTATGTTTGTAAACATTTAGAGTGAACCACATCTCACCAAATCATGTGGTGGTGGGGTGGGGGTTGTAGTGATAGTGATAGAGAGGAAGAGAGGGGACTGCAAAGGTGCGCTTGCAGCTTGTTTTCTAACGGCTCCCAGAAGAGAATTATATATATAGATTTTTTTGGCAGTGAAGTTGTTGCTGTGTTGTTACATTGTTATAAGAATATAAGTTTTGTTGGCAGTTGATAATTGTGTAGTTATATTGATATAAAAATATAGTAGACAAGTATATCCATCCATCTGTGTGGAGTCTAAAGAACAGTGACTTGCACACCACAATACTGCTCAGGGTAGCCTAAAAATTAATTTGCTAAAGGTATGTGATGTTATTTTAACCTTTCTAGGGGAATACTAACAATCAATACTGTGTTTGATAATGAACCAAAGTTAGTTGACCATTTATTTATGCCATTTTAAGCAAAATCTTAAAAATGCTTATTCATGATTTTAGTATGTAGAAAACCCCTAAATACAAGCAAAAATAAGAAATATTTTGGACTTCTTCACAACCAGTGTTTCTCTAATAAGCCATGCAGTCAGTTTCTGATCCCGCCGCAGATTATCAGAACCATGAGCGAGTCAAATTCACTAGAAAATTGTGGCCAGTAGCTTGAATTTAGCAACATTTTTAGTGCCTATTTTGTTTAACAAACAGTCTTTGTGTTTTGGGACATAAACACAAAACACGGGTATCATTTACCAGGCTCGACCAAGCCAATACTCAAAGTTTGTTACCTTGGTTGTCATACCACAGGTCTAGTTAATGACTTTACCCTTACCTGAGCAGGACGGATACTGATCTGATGTCTGGGTGACCCCACTGCTTGATTTAATGGTTTACCCCAAAACTGACTGGACATGCAAGGGATTGTAACTTGAAGCTGACCCTACAAGATTTTTCCATCGTCACCGCCCCCACCTCCGCTTGATATTATTACCATTTACCCTTCAGATGCAAATTTTTAGCTACTTAAAGTGGATGTGTTTTTGCTCTGCTTGGTTGAAGGATTTACATATTAGAAATCTGATTCTTGGGATTATTACATGCACGTACTGTCAACGACATTTATGGTCTCGTGATCAAATAGAAAATGGAATTTTGTACAACTGCTCAAATGGATCTGACCTTTAATGTCTGCTGATCAGTTTGCCACAAGTTAAATGTTAGGTTTCCAGGAGATGAAATGCGGTTTTGGTCATTGTTTGATTCTACGTTTTAAAAATATTGTGCTTTTTTATTTTGGCGTTTATATATGTGTATTAGAGGCATAAGGTCTCACCTAAATTTGTAGAATTAGCATATTGAGGAAAACCAGCTTTTACTGATTTTTTTCACATAAATTATTTACATGAAGGTAAAATAAGCAAATTATATCAAGGTGGTGTAAAATTATAAAGCTTAATCAGATGTAATAATTAAGCCAACACAAACAGGTTTCACTTACTTTTAAATCTCTGTGGGCTATGTCCATGGAATGTAAATGAAATATTGCATTAGCAATATCTTTCATGATGGAAGCTGCTTCTGATGAAAAAAAAAATGTATTTCTAAAACTAATATACAAATAGTAATAGATATCCTTTTGGGGTCATCTATAAATGACGTCACGCTTTTTTTGACGATTTTTACCTCACCCCTTCCCTCCGTCACACATCGTCACAAAAAGCTAGACCCCCCCTAAAATGATGTCACACCTCAGCCTACAACCCCCCTCAAAATTGCTGTTGAATTTTCCAAAATCTTGTCAAAACTCTGTCAACATAGAGTATTTTAATTAATTCATATTACAATTTATTAAAACCTTTTTCTAAAACGTGAAATAACAGCTAAAACTCGTTTTCTAATATTGCTTGTTTATAATGCAAAAAAAGTGACGTCACACCATCTGAACTCTCCCCCTCATCACACACCATCACAAAATTACGGACCCCCCTCCCCCTACGAGTGTGACGTCATTTATGGACGACCCCTTTCCTGTTGCAAAAAAAAAAAAAAATTAGAAACACAACATAGCTTTTCTTATATGTAAACTACAACCTAGTTAAACAAGTTAATAAAAAGTCTAGTGACAATTTAAGCGCAATTTCCTTAATTAATTTTTTGTGACCGAACGAAAGGATATTTTTGAAAACTTTCTTCGGCAATATTGTTCTAAATTATGGCAGGAATCGATTGGTAAATATTTCAAGTCGCTAAGTGGTCTGGTTGCCGAGATATGGGCCAAAAACTGCATTTTTTCGAGGTTTGTTTTGGCTTTTCCGGGAAATCAAGGAAGGAATTCCGGGAATTTTTTTGGCCCACAATCATCCTCGGAACTTGCTTAACATATTTGCTTTTGGAACTAGTCCTCGATATTGCTTCGTTGAGGAGGAGATACGACTTAAAGCTGCGGACACACATCCATCCATCCATCCATCCAGAAATAACGAATTAATAATCACGATTGTCAGTATGGAAATTGCGCTAAAAAAAATATTAGAATCAAGTTATACGACCATTTGAGAAAGATAGGGAAAATGCTGACCTCTTTCTGTAAATGCTGTGTCTGCTCTTGCTTGAATGCGAGTAAATAATTCACCTCCTTCCATACTGTCAAAAAATGTATTTTAAAAAAAAATATTTTCATTTGCTCATTACCAATATATAAAGGTAAAATTTAAGAAAAACTTATTTTTACCATTCCATAACAACTAGAAGACATTTTTGTCCACCATACTGGTTCTCATACACATCATGAATTTTAACTATGTGGTTACTTCCATAACAGGCCCTAACGTGGAGGTCAACTTCACGTCTGGCTTTAGGTACATCTTTTAAAACCTGAAAAAATGGAGAGAGTACATTCGATTTTTATTTTCAAGTATCTCCCAAAAAGATGAACACTACACATAAATAATGTTGATAGGTATCTAAGCGTACATTTGTATTTGTGTCTATGCTACTAATCTGCTGCTTCAACTCCAAATGTAACACTTAATTGATGGCTTGCTGAGGATGAAAGAGACACATCTGTTGACATTCTGCAAATCCTATCATGCTACTCATGTTAAAAAAAATACCCAAAGAGAGACAAAAAAAATTACACACGAAATTTGGACAGTTTTCATCGTTTTACACCTCAGTACTTCATCATATACCGAGTATAGGGGACTTATTTAAATCGGGCAAAAATAATAAATGCAGATTTATCAAAATTTCAGTGTTCTATGCGTAATAGAGTCGGAAAAACTTGGTTTTGCAATTCTGTCTGTAAGTCTGTGTGTGTCTGTGAACATGATAAATTGACTACCATTACAGCTAGGTTGATGAAATTTCAAATTTGTAGTTCTGTATCAACTTTTCAGCGATTTCCTGTAACCAGAAGGGAACTTATTCTTTTGGTGTTTCAAAAGCTTATAACGACTGCTATTACAGATAGATGAACGAAATTACAAAAATAAGTAAAATATCTAATTCTCTGACTATTGTCAAATTTTGAGTAAATTCCATTGACTGGAAGTAGTAATTTACATTATTTCCGATTTCTCAAAAATGCAAGTGAATTTATAAAGTACTAATAATATTCCGCATTATTATACACAGATTATTTGGCGTTCACGTGGTGCGCAATATTTTTTTCTACGAGATTCTATTCTATTTAAAAAGTTTAAGTAATTAAGAATGGATTAAAAATCATGTTGATATCCCGAATAGCCATCCCCTGTAGTGTTATATAACAATACGAGCTCACCCATGGTGTATCATACGCTGCCATTTAGTTGTTTTATTTTCTACTTTTCAGTACTTCATAGTTAGTGAATGCGACACTACCCTCCCTTCCATTTCCCCTTCCCTGCCACAGTGAAAGCAGCAGTCCGTGACGTTAGTCCCGTCCGTCCCCCCCCCCACTGTGGACATCCACAAAAATTTAGTAGCCCTCTCAATACATGCTGCAAAATAACTAATTCATTTACATGCAATGTGTACATAACTAATAATGTAATATAGGGATTTGATATTTTTTCGGTAACATCTATTACTATGCCTAAATAATAATTGGGAGTTAAACTTTTCCAAGGTGTCCATTAGTCTACGGCTGGTGAACTTAACGTGTGAATGTGCTAAGACTATCTTACCCTAACCCTACGGCTGGTGAACTTTACGTGTGAGTGTGCTAAGACTATCTTACCCTAACCCTAACCCGAGGGTTTGCGATGCCTGGAAGAAACACTGATCACTATCCATATCCTAATCCTTCTCCATGTGCCCTCCTAACCCTATCACTTAACCTATCTCTCTATACCAGGGGTCGGCAACCTTTTGAATTGAAAGAGCCAAAAGTTACAATTTACACAAGTTCCCAGTTTTTAAAGAGCCACTATCATTTTTATTTCAATATTTTGGCTTTTGATTGGGATTAGATATATACATTTGAATTTTGATTTGAAATAAATAGCTTTAAATATGAAAGAATATTTGTACTTAAAAAAACATACTAATATTTCGCACAAAACATATTAAAGTATTTTAGCCAGCTCTGCTCTGATTACATTAGTAATCAAATAATTTAACTATACCACTATCCCAATCCACTTTAGAAGCCAATGACTTTTTTCTTTACGGACACCACTGGTGCAGGATGTGTCTCTCATAGCCAGGCAGACGTCAGAACGACCAACACCGGGCTTGTGTATCAGTCCCTTCTGTCTTTGGTTCTCATCAGGCTTATTTTCCACCCCACTGAACGCAGGATAAACCTGTACCCCTCAGTTCAAAATAAATACATACTGGCCGAAAGAGAAATGCTTATTGTATAAAATAACATTCCCCATTTAACAAAATTCCAAAAAGTCGGCACTTATTAAGCAATGGCAAGAATGGAACCGTCGCCACGGGGCTGGTCACAGCACGGACGTGGGGCTGGGCCTGGTGCCCAAGCGGCTGTCAGCTGTCCATTTACTTTCTACCTCACCTACTCTCATTGTTCTCTGATGAGTGTTTTTATCATGCTTAAAGTTGTTTTTCTTTGAAATATTTTTATGAGTTTTAAACATATAAAATAATTATTAATATTTATGCATGGAACTGGAGAGCCGCATCTTGACATCAAGGGAGCCGCAGGTTGCCGGCCCTTGTTCTAGCAATGTCTGAAACAGTTACCCCAAGGGTCGGCAACCTTTTGAGATGGAAGAGCTAAAAGCTACAATTTACCAAATTTCCAAAGAGCCACTAACATTTTTTTCAATATTATAATTTTGATAAGGCAAAAAAAAAAAAAAAAATATATATATATATATATATATATATATATATATATATATATATATATATATATATATATATATATACATATACATATATAATTTAAAATAAATAGATTTAAATATGAAATAATATTTATTCATATAAAAACATACACATGTCTTTCGCAGAAAAAATATTAACGTATTTTATCAAGCTCTGCTAGAATAATAAAATCAGTAATCAGATTAAATAACTTTAATTATTGAATACTATTTACAATAGTTAGGCCTTGCATGCCTTTTGAAAGTTTGTGTAAATAAACCTGGCTCATAACATATTTTCAGCTTCAAGCACCCCTCTAGATTTTTATTACTTATTTGGCTTCTATACTTTGTGTTATATTCATGCAAGAAAACGCTTGCTCGCATGAACGTTGACCCGAGGATCGTCAGCCCTCCTAATGCCAACTTCTTCTCCTCACTTTAGCATCTTGGAAGACTATTCCATCTGTCACATAATAGCGCCTCCACTCGCAGCATTTCTTTTAGAGCAGTCCACTTGTGCAGCGAAACGTGTATGTTTTATTGGACCTCCCAATCTTCTAACTCGCTCTTAAAATATGTGAACTTACCACTCCACAAATGATTGGTTTTCAAATCTAGCAATTTAATTTGAAGCAAACCAGCATCAATTCCAAATAGCTCAAAGTTAATCTCATTTGTTTTTGTGTAGAGAGGATCTACTTGAACGCCATAGTACTTGCACTTCTTTTGAATTGCTCAAATCTCAGTGAACTCATCCTTCATTTTGTTTATAGTAATGATAAAGTAATTAATGTTACTAGTAGCATTGGTTTTATCACATTTTTTTCAATTTTTTTCAAAATAAAGTAATTTACCGCTCTCCTTGTCTTCAACAAAATGAAGTAATTTTTTTTTAGTACGCAACTTATAGGCTTTTGAAAAATTCAAAGTAGAAAAAGTACCACTTCCGGTTATCGGAAATCACACAAACGTTGATCAGGATCTACGATTTTGATAAAATACTTATATATGAAATTTCATCAACCTAGCTGTAACGGTACTCAAGTTATCGTGTTTACACACAGACAGACACACAGACATACGGACAGAATTGCAAAGTCCAGTTTTTACGACTCGATAACGCATAAAACGCCAAAAGGTTTATATATTTGTATTTATAATTTTTGCCTGATTAAAATAAGTCCTCTATACTCCGGATGTGATGAAGGACTGAGGAGTAAAACAGTGAAAACTGTCAAAATTTCATGTTATTTTTGTGCACGATTACAATACTTTCTCTATACTTCGTATATATGAGAAAGTAAAAATGGCTTTTTCTGCCCTTTTAAGCTCCAAAAACGCGCCGTGTGACATCGGCCGCCAACCAAAACGCTAAGAAAGCATACGTTTGATTGGTTGGCGGCTGACACTATGAAATTCTCTAGGGACGGCTTGAAATGTATACCGGCGGGGCTTAGGGCCTACTAAATTTATAAAGATTAATAAAGAGTTAGGCCTAATGGCATATTTTTAGTACAGACTGATCTAGAACCATAGTTCTAACTACTAAACTAGATCTAGTTTTTAAATATTACATGAAAGTGGAATATGGGCCTAGAGTCTAGATAAATCTAGATCTAGTTTTACTAGTCTAATTTCTCATGTTTTACCTTCAGTGCATATTTTTGTTGTGTTTGCCTGGAATAACATTCGTGTACTTTGCCGTTAATTCCCAAACCGAGAACAGAACCTGTTAGACGGTAATCATCTGAAATAGGACTTTTCTTAGGTTGAAGAGGTCTTGGATATCCCTGTCCCATCATTGTTTTCAGTTTTATCTACAATCTAGAATAAATATTATACTTAAAGTACCGTATTCATCAACTTCCCTACTATTTTCTGTCACAAGAAATATTAACCGGATATTTCTAAACAGGAAGTGAGGCAATTGGTCTAAAAATAGTATTTTTCTTATCCCAATTTTAAATTAAAGCATTTAATTAGGCCTATTGGATTTTATTATGGGATTATATCATTATAGGCCCAAACTGTTCTTTAGCTTTAGTACTAGATCTATGTATGTTTGTTTTGTTTTTTGTTTAGTTCTTTTTGTGTTTGCTTGCTTGTTGTTTTGTGGAAAATCGTGTCACTCAGTTTTGACTAACTATAATGCTGCGATTTCGATACGGTCGTCCCGATTGAAAATGCAAGAGTATCTCATAAAAAAATCTAATTAGATGTAAGATTCGTCATTAAAATTTAATTAGGAGGTCGTCCATAAATGACGTCACATCAGTGGTGTAGGCAGGGGGAGGGTTAAGAAAGTAGTGTCGTCCGCGTATGCAAGTATTTTCTTGCCTCCCGTGCTAATGGAATGCAGTTTTTTAATAGTTGTCCTCACTAATGTTTTCTAGGAGGTGTTCTAAGCTAAGGATACAGAGGCGTAGCGAGGGGGGACCGGGGGCCATATGTCCCCGGGGGTTCCCAGAAAGAAGCGCAACGGAAAAAAGCGCAACGGAAAAAAGCGCAAAACAAAAAGCGCAACGGAAATAAGCTCACACGGAAAAAAGCGCAAAGAGAAAAAAGCGCACACGGAAAAAAGCGCAAAAGAAAAAAGAGCACACAGAAAAAAGCGCAAACAGAAAAAAGCGCACACGGAAAAAAGCGCAAAGAGAAAAAAAGCGCACACGGAAAAAAGCGCAAAGAGAAAAAAGCGCAAAGAGAAAAAAGCGCAAAAAGAAAAAAGCGCACACAGAAAAAAGCGCAAACAGAAAAAAGCGCAATCGGAAAAAAGCGCAAACAGAAAAAAGCGCAAACGGAAAAAAACGCAAACAGAAAAAAGCGCACACAGAAAAAAGCGCAAACGGAAAAAAGCGCAAACAGAAAAATGCGCAACCAGAAAAAACAACGAAAAATGTGCAAAAGAGAAATTTAGCACAAATACCTATATCGACTAGATGACACATTTATACATGACTGTTAGGGCTGCTGTGAGAGTGTCGTGTTTGATCACGTGATTTACTACCATTTAAAGCGTACCACTACCATGTTCATTCCCCTCACCACGATACTGGCGATAATCGCTTTACACAATGCCTATTATTTTCTTGGTCAATAATTATTCAACTACTAATTATTCCCCGGGCGCCGACCTAAGGGTGCGCCAAAATGGGTTGGAAAAACAAATCGAAAGTTTGAAAGGGGGGGGGTGCAAATCGAAAGATTGTGCCCGGGCGCCGGGAAGGGTCGCTACGCCTCTATATGGATATATAGGAAGGGAGATAAAGGTCAACCTTGTCTGATTTCTGTATGTGAAATTCGCTTGTGACACTGTTATTGATCACTAAATGACTGTGCATTGTTGTATATTATTTTCATCCAAGTTTTAAAATAGTGTCCTAGGTTGTAAGCATCTACTGTTTTCATTAACCATGTATCGAAAACTTTCTGTTGTTGGTCGATGCTAAGAATTGCTAGTTGTGTGTCTTTCTGCGTGCTATAATGAATGTATGATGTCTCTGATTAAGTGCGTGTGGGTTTGCATTTTTCTACCTGATATATATATATATATATATATATATATATATATATATATATATATATATATATATATATATATATATATATATATATATATAAGCCAATATATGGCGCCTTTTTCTCGACTCGTCGCACCCCTAACCCGAAAACCTGTATACCCCTCTTAGCGCAACCATAAGACAAACTGGTAAGAGATGGAATGTGGAGACACCGTGAAGCAAAAAGTCAGTAAAGTTAAGTATAAGTAATATAAAAAGGTGTTCTGTAAAAACGGAAAAGTTACATCTCTGCTAGAGTTACACTAGTATAGTTATTTTTATTGCATTGAGTCTATGATAGACTAGCAGACGTTCATAAATAACGTCACATTAACTAACCGAATTCTACCCTCTACCTATATCATCATTAATGACCAAATAGCCAAACTACAAAAAGTTTAATCTACAGCCCCACCCACCTCTCCATACAATGAATAAATAAATAAATAAGAAAAAAAAATATATATAGATGTAACTAGTGGAGTTACCAGGGACGACAAGAACGTATTACAGTCTGTCAACTTTGACATGACCAAGGCCAAACTGGGCTGACGCAACAGTGCAGGTGGTCTAATAATCGGATGGTACGACAGAGCTGCGCAATTAATATTCTGATGCAACGATTAGAATCGATTACGAATACGATTACGAATACGATTACGAATACGAATACGAGGAGATAAAATAGGAAGGAGACAGTTGAGAACCCGGGAGTATCAAGTTGGTTACTGAACGGGGTAGACGTATTGTGTTATGTGAGGATAGGAATTATGGACACGTGCATTCTGTTATGTGAGGACTAGTGAGGACAGTGGGGGTCAGTTGGTTCATTGTATTTTTGTGGAACATTGGTGCATTGTTATGTGGAGCATTTCTATTGATTCATGTAATAAAGAGATCAATGTAAACCTGCATTTCCGAGTATCTATATTGTGGTCGATGTTGTGTGCTGGTCAAAGGTAGCACGAGTAAATACACTCGGTAACATTTGGCTCTGTCGAAATCGGTAACATTTGGCACTACAAGCAAATAGACTCGGTAACATTTGGCGTTGTCGAGCAGAAGAATTCAACTAGACCAGCCGCTAGGGCACCCATAGTCAACCTAGTTAATAACTGTGTTTCGTGTGTGTGAATTCGGACATTCAGGAACAGGGAAAAGTATTCTTACATGCACGGTAGGAAAGGTCTTTTTTTTTTACTCAAAGAATTAAAATTAGAATGTCTACTCTGGACGAGAAGCAGACCCATGTTGTGGTCCTGCCCAGAGAGTCCCACATCAACAAATTTTACGGGGACGGTGATCCAACCTTAACCAACAGGTTCAGTGAAGAGGTCAAAGCTTCCTGGGCCTCGAGATACATGGCACCAGAGGAAAGATTAAGATTGTTGATGGGCAGTATAGGAGAGACGGTTAGGGCAGAGGTCAAATGCCACGATAAAACCATCCAAACAGATCCAGATAAGGTGCTAGATCTAATTATGGAGACCTTTGGGGAGAGACGGTCGGGATCGCAACTGCTATCGGGGTTCGTAGGCTTAAAGCAGAGAATGGCGGAGAGTGTGATGGAGTATTCACACCGAATGAACAGGGCCTTTGATGCGGTAAAGGGCAAAACACCCGACATTGATGTGCGCCTGCTGAGAGACCATTTCATCGAGGGGCTAGCAACCCCTATCTTAAGGAGAGACTTGAGGGAAGAGGTCTACAAAGACCCACAGTTGACCTTCCTTCAGGTCAGGAACTCAGCGATCCGCAGGTCCGAGGATGAGGACCAATCGAACTGTTCGGTAGACAAAGTCTCTGTGCCGGAACAGAAACAATCCCCACCCACAGGGACCGGCACGATGGAAACCATGATGGCTCAATTGTTGGCCCACCTGGATAAGGTTGACCAACGATTGGAGATGTTAGAAAGCAGGTCAACAGCAGAGAATCAGGGCAAAAACGGGACAAAACATAGACGGGTTGGACAGCCGCGACCTGCTGGTCCATCACTCCAGTGGACAGCTGACGGTCGACCAATCTGCCTGTCCTGCTCACAACCCGGACATATGGCAAGGTACTGTCAGGGAAACGGTCGTCCTCTGTAAGGCATGGTCAGGCTACAGAGGGGCGAGGTTATGGCCCAAGAAACAAAATGATGGGAGTCTGTCCCAAAACGATGATTACGATCGGGGACATCGCGGTGAAGGCAATTGTGGATACAGGCTCCCAGGTGACGACAATTACGGAACAATTTTACACCAAATGGATGAAAGGAAAAGACCATAGGTTAAGGTCTGACACATGCATGCGCCTGACGGCAGCTAATGGACTAACCATTCCATACTGTGGTTATTTTCTGGCGGATGTCGTGGTGGCGGGACATAGGTTGAAGCAGGTTGGGGTGTTCGTTACGAAACACAACCTAGAGACAAATGTGTCAAATATACCTTGCCTGTTGGGCATGAATATTCTTGGCCAGTTGCCAGAATTTCTTACAAATATTGTCGGATCGACCACACCAGGTCGGGGATCCAAGTTGGCCAGGTTTGCCAAGACCAGAGGAAGGACATCAGTCCCGGCAAACACGGTCAAGGCAATCACATTACAAATTGGTGATAGAAGCGTGAATGGTGATGTGATGATAGAACCATGTGGCGCCGCACCATGTGGCGTCGTGTTACTGCGGACATACACATCAGCGGAAAATGGACTGGTTCTAGGGTTAGTGGCAAATGTATTGGATGAGGAAATTTTTATACCGCCTAACACTCTGGTAGGAGTACCACAGAACGTCGAGGTACAAAGGTCGGCACAGTGCATCGAACTGATCAATACCAGCAGTAATGAAGTAATAATTAGGTCGGTCAATGTGACGGCCGAGGTGAAGAAAGAGGATGGCCGATCATATACATTCCCGGAAACTGAGGACCCAAAATTAAATGAATTACTGAATAAGTACAGGGATATATTTGCCTCGTACGAGGGTGATTTGGGGTACACGGAAGTAATAAAACACCAGATACCCTTACTACAAGACAAGCCTGTGGCGCAACCTTATCGAAGATTACCACCAAGTCACTACTCTGCGGTGAAAGCACACCTGAACGATCTACTAAAAAAGGGAATTATTACAACCAGCACAAGCCCGTATGCGGCACCGATAGTAGTTGTAAAAAAGAAGTCAGGGGAGATAAGACTGTGTTGTGATTACCGGAAATTGAACAATATCACAAGAAGGGATGCATTCCCCTTGCCTCGTATTGATGAATGTCTTGATGCGTTGGGGGGAGCAAGATTTTTTTCTACCTTGGATTTGGCTAGTGGCTACCACCAAGTGGCCATGCACCACAACGATCAAC